AGCTGTCCATATTTGCCTTGGACTTCGTGAATTTTGACCTCACCTTGCCCTCACGCGCCCTTGCTTGCACTGAAGGCTTGTCGTTGGCCTATGGCCTCATGTGCACTGAACCGAGCCTATCATTGTTGGATCTCGCTCAATTCGGAAGTTCGCCTTCATCAAAGACATACGCCTGAGCTGGATTCTCATCATTGGCCTTCGGTCTGTCTCGAACCGAATTGATGTTACCAACATTGGACTTCGTACATCAAGGCCCGATGCCTTTGCTGCGAAGCTACTGCCAGTTGGGATTCTTGCCCCTGGTCTATGGCATTATGAGGATCGACTCGATGTTCTCGGTTCTGGATTTCATCCATTTAGGCTCGTCACTCTTGCCCCGAAGCTCCGCTCGCTACGAACTGGCCATGTCCGTCTACGGCTTGTCGCGTTCGGGATTGACCTCGTTGCTCCTGGATTCTGCACATTTTGGCCCGTCCACGTTCATGAGATCTCATACTCACTCAGACTCTGTGATGTTGGCATATGGCTTGTCTTGCCTTGGCTTGACGCCCTTAGCCTCAGACTTCCTATCCATCGGTTCAAGTCTGTCTCTGCACAGCTGGTGTCAAGTGGGTTTCTTCTCGTTGGTCTTTGGCATCACCTGTCCTGGAGTGGTCTTGTTGGCCTTGGATCTCTTTCATTTGGACTTCTCTTCATTTCCTCGATCCTTCCTTCGTTCGGGCTTGCCGCTCTTCGCCTTCGGCCTCTCCCGTTCAGACCCTTCGCTCCCTTCACTGGACCACATCGCCATGGGGAGCCTCTTGTCCACGCGGACGCTCATGTGAATCGAGAGCTCATTGCCCGTCTTTGGACTGGCTCGTTTGGGGTTGGCGCTGTTGGTCTCAGACTTCTCGCACTTTGAGTTCTTCTCATTCTTACGAGGCCTTTCATGCATGGGTTTGCCACCCTTGGTGTTTGGCTTAGCATGCTTGGGTTTCCTCCTTCCCATCATCGACTTTGTGCACGCTGAATTGTCCCTGTTGCCTCATAGCTCCACCAGGCTGGACAGTGCCATGTCAGTCTATGGCTTGTCATGTTCGGACTTCTTCATGCCACCCCTAAACTGCTTGCCATCAGGATCGATCACGTTCTTGCGTGGACTTGTGTATTTGGGTCCTGCTTTGTTGGCCTATGGCATATCTTGTCTGGACTTCTCGTGCTCCGCCTTGGACCTGATGCATTCTGAGCTCACATCTTCACTCAGATCCTTCTGTCGACTTGACAGTGCCTCGTTGGTCTTCGGGATGACTCGATTGGAGTTCTCCCCGTCCATTTTGGACCTCAGCTGCATGGAAAGCATCTTACCCTCAAGGGCCCTGTGTCGATTAGACTCGGTCTCACCTGCCTATGGCATCAGTTGCTCAGGTTTCTCCTTGCTGGTCCTAGATCTCGTGCACTTAGGCTCCACTCTTTTCTCCAAGACCTATGCATATTTGGGCTCGCCGCTTTTGACCTATGGCTGCTCAAAACCAGACTTGAGCTTGCCAGCATCAGACTTTGTGAATCTAGAACTGTCGCTCTTCCTGCATTCCTTTCTCCAGATTGGATCGGCGCTCTTGGTCTATGGCTTGACATGAACCGATTTGCCTCCTTTTGTCTTGGACTTGTTCCACCTAGATTTGCCCCTCTTCTTGCAAAGCCTCATCCAAACCGATCTCCTCATGTTGGTCTATGGCATCACTTGCTTGGGATCGACCCTCTTAGTTTTGGATCATGTTTGTTTGGAATCCATGACTTTTGCGAGAGGACTTGCGTGTTTGGAGCTCTTACCACTTGCTTATGGTCTAAGTTGATCGGAACCTTTCTCGCTACCCATTGACTTAATCCACTTGGGCCCAAGCTTACCTCCCCGATCATATGCCTGCATCGGCTCATCCCCCTTCGTCTTCGGCTTGGCTTGTTTGGGTTTGCCCATTTTGCTCCTTGATCTTGTCCAGATGGGCTTCCCACCGCTTCTCCGAAGCTTCTTGCACTTGGGATTCAGCTTGCTGGCCTTTGGGCTTTCATGCTTGGACCTGTTTTCATCCGTTTCGGACTATGCATTCCTGGGCTTCGATCTATCAACTCGAAGCTTTGCTCGTCCGGACTCCAGTGTGTTCCTTTGGGGCATCAGCAAGCCTGGAAGCTTTTCATTGGCCTTGGATTTTGGACACTTTGACTTCACGCTCTTCCTAAAGACGATGGCCCAAATGGACTCCGCCTCGTTGGTGTGGGGCATATCGAAATTGGAGCTTTTCCTACCAACCTTAGACTTTGCACACTTGGAGCTCTCTCCCTCTTCACAAAGCCTTGGTCATGGTGCATCTTTCTTGGTCTATGGCATTGCACGTTTGGACCCATCCTCATCGATCTTGGATCATATGACCTTTGGCTCATTGATGTCACTCCAAAGTTCTGCAAGGTCTGGATTCTCCATCTTGGCCTATGGCCTATGCTGTTCAGGACTCATCTCGTTGGTCTTGGACCTTGTGCATTTGGGCTCCAGCCTGTTGCTCCATGCTTCTTCCTGTGCTGAACTCTCCCTCTCGGTCTACGGCCTGAGTCGGCTAGAGCCACCTTTTCTGGTTTTGGATTCTTTCCATTCGGGCTTCTCCATGTTATTGAAGTCCCGCGTTCGCACAGGTCCGTTCTTGCCGGTCTACGGCCTGAGTCGGTCAGACTCACTCCTGCTTTTCCTGGACTGCTCCTATCTAGGGCCCTTATCGTCCTTACAGTCGCTTATGCGTACTGGACCAGCTTTGTCCACGTTCGGCTTGCTCCGACTCGGTTTCTTCATGTTTGTCTCAGACCATATATGTTCAGACCTATCGATGTCCCTGCGCAGTCTTGCTCACTTGGACTTTTCGTCTTTGGTCTATGGCATCAGTTGTCTTGGCTCTTCCCTGCTTTCGCCGGATTTCACACACTTAGGCCTTTTGATGCTTTTGCGATCGCCCGTTTGATTGGGTCTGCTCACGCCGGTGTTTGGCATGTCAAGGCTCGAATTATCTCTTTCCATCTTGGACTACTTGAGTTTGGGCTTGAGCTTATTGCCACGCACTTTTTTGTGAACCGAATTATCCACGTCCACTTTTGGCTTCAGCCGACTGGAGCCATCTTCATCTCCCCTTGACCTCGCGGAGATGGATTCGATGCTGCCTGCCAGGTCACTTTGTCAGCTGGACTTCTTGATGTTGGTCTATGGAATGATGTGTTTGGACAGCACCTCGTTGATCTTAGACCACACCGACCTCGGTTCCTTCACACCACTTCACAGCTTTGCATGCTTGGAGCTGGCTTTGCTGGTCTATGGCCTTTCCACAGTGGGAAGTTTGCTGTTGCTCTTGGACTTGATTCATCTCGATCCACTGCTCTTCTTACGATCTTTTGCTTGTCTTGGATCAAGCCTTTCAACCTTCGGCATGGTTCACTCAGACTCCTTCTCATCGGTGTGTGACTTTGCCTCCATGGAGTCCAGCCTGTTGACTCACAGCTTAGCACAGCTGGACTTCTCTCCGTCGGCCTACGGCCTCACCTGCTTGGGCCTCCTGCTGTTCTCAACAGACCTCATCGGCATGGAGTTCTTCTCGTTCCTCCACAGCCTTGCGCACTTGGAGAGTCCACCCTTGGCGTTTGGAGTGAGCTGCCCAGACACCTCGTTGCCTTTGCTGGACCTGGCGCACTTGGAGCTTTTGACGTCCTCGTACCGCGCTCAGGGGGTGAAGGGCGCGGCAGGGTTCGGTGAAGGCGAAGAGGAGGTCCATCTGGGAGATTGAGCTCCCCCAGATGTCCATCCTGGATCCGAAAGAGACGTTAACCGGACGCGAGTCCTCGTTCGGTGGAGGGGGAAGTGGGGCTTGAACCGATTAATCCCGTTTTGCGGGAGCATGGATCATGGGCTGGATCATATGCGGAGGGAACATTCCTAGATCTTCCAACATATGCAAAAAGTATCCCTTTTGGTGTACAAAACCAGCCAAGGTTGGCATAAATGTTGCATAGTTGGAAGATCTAGGTTGAGGTTCGGTTCATGGTTCGGGTGACAGTCTGACCATCCGACGGGGAACTGGCTAGGTGACCCCAGCACGCCAGCACGCCATGAACTCACTCCTTCGGCCGGTCGGCCCGAACTCCGTCGGCCGGACGGGGACGGACGAGGACGGATGGACCCGAAACACCTCAAGCGCCCGGAGTCTGACCCCGGACACGACGAATGGGACTGGCGGATGTACCTGGACCATCCTGTCTGGATGTCCTGGACAGGGAGATCCCGGAGAGCAGTGCAGGGTAGTCCAGCCAGCCAGACAGGATGGTCCTGGTATCACGCGTAAGAATCGGGCCCGAACCAATCACCATATAGGGTTTGCTTCAGGTCCAGACCACTACAAGACACATGGAACTGGTTTAAAACCGCCCCTTCTTTTTCGTAGTAGAGGAGCTTACCAGCAGTTCCATGTCGGAATGGTTTGCCTCGTCCCATCCAGTGAGGTTGGGGCATCCTCGGTTTGGAACCGGCACCCCTCCCCTAGCCTTCAAAGACCATTAAAAGTACGGTTGAGCTGGTGGTGTAGTGTAAAAATCCTTAGTAAAACAATGGTTCTTTGGTAAAGACCATTAAAACAATGGTTTTTTGAATCCTAGGGCTTGTGTCTTCTGAATCGTCCTTTTCCACTTCGAGTGTGCAAGGGATTTCGCTCCCTGGATCTCTACGCATGTGCCTCGTCGTCCGTGAACACGGATGAACACGGTGTGGCGTGCGTTCCGTTTCGGCTGCGCCGCCGTTGGATCTTGCGCGTGCCGTTCTGCAGAATCGTGGGCTCTGCCATCTGGACATTCACATGGACATTCCATCCATTGCTGATCTTGGGGTCCACCTGCAAGGGTCCCGAACGACAACGCGAAGAATGTCCACCTCCAAACCGCCACCGGTGCTTGAACCCCCCCCAAAAAGAAAGCACCCATCAGCAGACGCGCAGTGAAGAGGGAAGTCGAGAGTGCGCTGGTGTCCTTTAGCTTCCGCCGGCCGAAGCTTCCGCCGCCGAAGCTTCCGCCGCCGCTGCCGAGCCGCCGTCATGCCACCGCACATGGTTCACGCTGAAGAGGACAGGTTCCCGCTCCACGAAGGGCGGAGCACCGTGGTCGCCCTGGGCGACGCGTGAGGTGAGGAATGGGAAACATACCTTGAGTCTCCAATGACCCTTTTAAATTCGACTTTCCAAGAAAAAGAGCTCACTTTTTCTTTTGCATACCTGGAACTTCGTTACGGCAATAATAATTGCCGTTTTCATGAAACGTCGCCTTTTTCCGTTCTGCGGCGTTCTTCCATATTGATCTCATAGGGACGACGTTTCTTGATGAACTGCGGCAGTTTCGGTCAGTTGACGGCAATTTTGGTCCACACATCCATGCGCCTCAAAGAGTCATTTCGTTTTAGTTTTAGTGCAGGCGAGTATGAAAACATTGTAGGGTCTTGCTTGAAAGGCAACTGAACGTAAAAGGCGTCTTATTTTATCAGCAAACTCGCATAGTCCTGTGAAGTGGAAAGGGCAGCTGATGGAAGTGTCACATGCTGGGTTTTCGTCGGTTTTCGCGGGTAACTCGACCTCTTGTGCGGCGTTGCAGAAGATTTTGCATTTAAAGTTACGGCGTTCTTACCCGTACTTGCGGCGTTTTTCCCCGTACTTACGGCGTTTTTCCCCGTACTTACGGCGTTTTCCCCCTACTTACGGCGTCGTTCCCTTACCCTGTCTAGGGTCACTCAAGGTGGCAGCAAGACTTGTCACAACATGTCACAAGCGATCCTTTCAGCCATTGCATGATCAACATGTGAACAAATCCTGCCGTGATGTCAATCGAGACCTTAGACAAGGGCTGCAACATCTTGAGAAGTGCTACCATGAGGCTTGAAAACGATGAGCTCTACTTACAAATGAAAAAGGAGAAGGCAATTTCAGGGTATGGACGGACCAAAGCAATATCCTCTTTGGTAGATCAAACAAAACGGCGATTCTTCTTTTGTGACGGCGTTTTCACTTCTCTGACGGCGTTTTCACTTTCCAGGGATTGAGCTACGGCAGAAAAAATGAGTTACGGCAAAAAATTATTGCCTCAACAGCCTACGGCAAAAACTATTGCCTCGGGAGGGTCTAGGTATTTCACGAAATGTTCATTTGTTTGTTTGTGCCCTGTCAGATCCTCCTTAGACAGTGTCGTGAGACCTTGTTTCGGCGTCCCAAAGGCGTCCAAGACGCATCTTTTTGCATCCAAAAGGCGTGTTTAAGCGTCCGCACCGGATGCGTCCGGATGAAGATTCAATTGTTACCCCTTTTTTTGAGTCCTAACTCCTCTCTGAAAATGCGTTTTTTGTCGAGCAAAAACACAAATATTAGACCAAAAACAAAAAGCATAACAAAAATCAAAAAGATAAAACCGGTCTTTGGAGACTCAAGGTAGTCAAAAGTATTACTAGTCAAAGACCTCATTTGACTGGAGTTGATCATACAAAAACCAGCAGAAACACGACGATTAAATGAGGTAAAACATCAGGAGTTACATGGAGTTACTCGATCTTCACTTCACCACTTGGTGAGGTCTAAAAAGACTAACAGTGGTGTCAGAATAGATTGCACCATTAGATTGCACCATTTCCCAAGGTGGTTCTATAGACCCCCATCTTGAGGACATGGTGCCATCGAACCTTTGAAACCCGGATCCGACCGGCTCGACACTTCGGATGCCATGAGGATGTCATGAAATCTATCCCTGGACCCGACTTCAAGTACCTTAGAAAGTTGGACATGACCCTATAAAGACAGGACTTGTACCCATTTTCCGAGGTACGCACTGAGACTCCAGGTCAATCCCCAGCCTGAAGAGTTGAATCATGGAGTCTACATTGCAACCTGGAACCCCAGTCCCAACCAGAAACAGCTCTGGTTGTTCCAATATGGCTTGCTTGAAAGCCTTTACATAGGAAATGGTTGGGACTGGGGAAACATCCATTTCTTTCTGGTTGGGACTGGGGGATTCCAGGAAGGTGTCTCCTTTTGGGAGGGGGTACTTCACTTTTTATCCCTACGTGTCTTACTAAGGGGGTGTCGTGCTTTGGGGGATGACCTTTTCGACCTTCGGCCGCTTTGACAAAGGGAGCGAGACACATCTCTCCGTTGGTCGGGAGAAAATCGTCGTGCGCGTGGGACCTCGCGGGCCGCGTCGTCGTCGAATCTCTCCGGCGCCGGAGAGGTTTGGATGTGTTTCCCTAAGACGACGCATGCCCTGGGAGTCAAAGACTATAAAAAGAATGGTCTTTAGGGGACCTGAAAGGGAACTTCCTTTACTTCAGCCGGTCAAAATATAGTCTTTGGACTTCTAGGGCATGGGAGGGGCTCTCCAGCAAGGTCGGACCACGAATTATTTGAGTGACGTGGTACCACATTCCCTGGCCCCATAGGGATCTAGTCGTAGCTCAGAATGATTGGAGACTCTGCTATGGAGTTTTGAAGGGTCCAGTCGTACCGAACCTGAGAAGGCACTTCGATCCCTATAGGGATAGAGGACAAAGATGGTCTTATTGAGCAATCTCTAGAAGTCCAGTTCGACTATATTTTGACTGACTGAAGTAAAGCCTTGACTCGTGTCACCTAAAGACTATTCTTTTTATAGTCTTTGACTCCCAGGGCAATGGGGGCATGCCATCCACGTCCAATGATGATTTTTGAGCTGCCCAAATTATGAGCTTCTCCATCGGACCTTGACCCAAACCCAGGGGTGACCTTCTCACCAAACCCGTGTTGCAGAAGGTGCCCAGATTCTTGGGCTCCAATGTTCACCCACATCGGAGTCTTTCTATCCTCTGAGCCCAAGCAGGCTTTGTGGCGAAGGTCACAGCCTGCCAAATCAAGATGGCACCGGCGCTGGTATTTTTTTCGCAGCACACATCCACCAATGGGCACAGGCCGCGCTCGGCCGAAATGCACGGATGGAGCTTGGCCAAGCGTTTCCAGGGGGTCGGATACCACGCCGGAATCGCTCGCGTGGTCCGAATTCAAACGGTGCACATGTTGTTTCGACCATCCACCACTGCTTGGGTCGGTCGGGTCTCTCCGCACTCCGACGCCCCCGGTCCCACGGGTCGACGAGGGACCGGCGAGACCGGGCAGCGTGCGCGAGGAGAACTCCAGCCAGGAGGAATTACTGCCTTCTCCCCAGCAGAACAGGCGAGATGGAGAATGGCCGACGGCTCGCACGTCGTACCGGTGAAGGGGTTTCGGGATTTCGTGGCGTTCTCGGAGAGAAAAGGACCGACGTGGCGCCTTCGAAAGGATGAAATGGATTGGATGGATCCACAAGAACTCCTCATAGTGTTCGAACGTCTTCTGGTCTCGCGTAGGCAGCTGAAAACGTAGGCAGCGCGGCAGCGCTACGTAGGCCGCTCTACAGTGGCGGGTGATTGGAAGGACGGGACGTCTATATGTCTACACCCGAACTTCATGGTGCTGGTATAGAGATGTCGGTGACCGTCGGTGTGGCCAAAAACTAAATCCCCAAAAAGGCCTCCAGTCGTACCGTACCTTCTAGGAGGTGGGACTGGGGTGGGTGCCAGGAGGGTCTAAACACCTTCTGAGGAGGTACTTGGAGGTGTAGGGTATCCATTTCCAACCACCATTGATCAGGACCCCAAGAGGTGTCTAATGGACTATAGCCTCTGATTCGAGGTGTCCAAAAACCACCCAGTTTGGAAGGTCATGGGATTTCATGTCTTTGACCGAAACGACCAATCCCAGACGCTCCTGTTTTTTTTGCAAACAATATTATGTTGATTTATTTTGCACTATTGTTTTGCCTTGTTTGCCAGGTAGAACATGGTAGAACGCCCATGAAATATATCATATGACTCGAGTCATATGAATATGTCTATTCTAACATGTTCTAAATTATATGTGTGAGTGTATGTCTTCCCACAAATCCGGGTCGTTTCCAAACCCACCGACATATGCAACATATTTGCCTTTTCCTCTCTCAAAAAGCAACCAGACATGTTGCATAGTTGGAAGATCGGCGCATACCGGAATATAATACCACTGCACTCTACTTGTCACGGGTTTAATATAAATGGGTCACCTTCCAAACGAAAAAACACATGCTCGACTGCCGCCTCCCCTTTCTTGAGATCCACGCTCTTTTCGCACGAAAAACCGCAGCCGACCTTTCGGTCTTCCACTTCCACCGAGCTTCCCGCGTCGCTCTCCGACCGGGCAGGGCGGAGAGCTCCGCTCACCGCTCCGCTCGGCTCGTTTCCAGGTCTTTCGTCGGGTGGTCGATGTGGCAAGTGGCGGGCATGATCGCCCTCTCCACGTGCCTCTTGGGCGCCGTCGCAGTGCTGCGCCCAGGCGAGGACCCGAGAGAGCGATTCCGCCGGGTTCGACCGCCTTCGGAGGGAGGTTAGGCCCCTGAAAAAAGGGAGCATTTGGGGTATGTATGGGATGGTCTCTAGACTCTAGAGTCTGGCTTCTTCAACCTCTGTTGGAGGGTTTTGAGACTTAGATCTTATGATCTTCCAGCAATTGCCCAGCTTGGCCGGCCCAAAACGCATCACCCAGGTGCCATGTGTGGCGCCTGTCGACCAGGTCGACGGTTTCATGGTGTTGACAAGGCCGCGACTCATCCGTCGAAGCCCCGCACGCCCTCGCGCGGCCTCCTCTGCCGCACGGTGGATGCCGCGCACGAGGCGATGCCGCGGCTCCTTCCACACGGCCTCACACGCGTGGATACCAACGCCTTTGGGGATCCAGGGTGCGCCCGGGTGGGCGACGAGAACGTCGGAAGGGTCGGCTTGGACCGGAAACCGTGCCGAAACGAAGGAAGGCGAAACGAGCGTCGTTTCAGGTTCCATCATGTTCCTGATAGCAGTGGGTGTGGGCGATATACCTGCGAAAGCAACAGCTGGTGTTTTTTTTAAACACTTGATGCGCCTGTCTTCGGCTGGCGGCATGGAGACCTCCATGATTGTTTGCCTTTGACCTTGGAGAAAAACCTCCATGTCAGATCTAAAGCCATATTGTCAAAGCAGGAAATGATCGTTCTGATCCAGGTCCATGTTATTATGTATGCTTATGTATGCTTACGTTCCTGCAATTGCAAAACAAACTGAACTTCCACTTAATCCAATCCCATGCAGTACTTGTTCGTTGTTGTTTTTTTAATATTTGTTCTCTGCTTGCTTGTCTTGCTTCTTCTTGGTTTGTCTTTTGCTCTTGTTCCTTGTTTTTTTTGTGTCTTCTTCTGTCTGCTTCTTTCTTCTGTTTTTGTTTGCTTAACTAGCTTCTTCTTGGTTTGTCTTCTTGTTTTTGTTCATTTATGGTCTTTGCTAATCTATGTTCTTTGCTAATTTTCTTATCTGTTCTTTCTTTTTTCTTTCCACTGTTTAATTGTGTTTTTTCTGCTTGCTTGCCTTTGTTCCCTTCTGCCTTCTTATTATTCTTAATTTGTTTGTGTTTGAAACTGTTTGTCCCTTTTATTGTTTAGCTCCTTTTCCCTGCTTGTGTTCATGTCTGCTGCTTCTTCCTTGCCCCTCCTTCTTTTGTTTTTTTCTTGATTATTTTCATGTGTTGTTTGTTTTTTCGTAAAAATTATTGGGGTGCAAAAAAGTTCAATGGCAGCACACCTTTAAAAAATGAGCTTTTTACACCCCCAACAAAAAGTTAAACGAACATCATCCAAGCGCAGTCCTCGTGCTGGGATGTGCTAGTGATTTTAATATGTGTTAAGGATATGTGACCCAGAACTGCCCAGAACTTTCATTTCGACTCATGAATGAACCCACCTGCTGAGAACATCATCCACCTCCACGTCGCATGACGTCGTGCGTGGTGCATCGTTCGGACTCAACGGATGTCCGGTGAGCGAACCCAGTCCCTAGGCTTCCTGGCCCAGGCGGGTCATAGGCGGGTCATCCCGAATCAACGACAAGGATTTTCCACGACAAAAACCAGGTTGTTCCCATTTCGGTCCGACACCCCGAAAGCCTTATCCTCCGTTCGGAACTGCTGGCCAGCTTAGCATACGACTCGGAGTAGGAGACTTCCTGCTGCAGGATCTGCAGGGTGAAACTGCTTCCAGCGTCTCGGTCTTGCTCAGTCGAACAGCTCGGTCTGAACAGCTGTTTCGAGTGACGACGAGCGTTTCCTGGGAGCAGTGGCAATTTTGGTCCTTCCATGCTTGGACATGGCACAGTTTGGTCCTAATAGAAACACCGGAGGATATATAACAGTATATACTGCTCAAAAAAGACATGTTGAAATAATAAGGAGATCCCTGTTCGAATTTCAATACCTCGATCAGATAGGCAGTTTTTCGATTGAGGCATGTGCTCAGGCTGCTCACCCCCCACGGCCTCAAAGCTTGGAGAGGCCTCCTGCCGCGTGATGGGGTGCAACAATGACAACTTTGTCGGCACCTGTCAATGTGCCTTGGAAGAAAAGAATGGAAAACACTCACATGGAAGTGGGCCACAATTTCTTTGAAGACGAGACTATTATACTATAAATCATGGAGTCAGTACGGCCCTGCCCATGAGATCATTGACATGTGGGTGTGTGTCAAAAGTATGTTGAAAACGTCGGTACTGTAGACTGTTGATGACTAAGACCCTGCATATGAAGAGGTAGAGGATTCTCTTCATTTTCCAGTGGCTTAAGCAGGGAGGGTGTCGGGCGCAGAACTCTCTGCGTCATCTCATCCTGGCTTCTCCGGCTTCTTCACGAGGTCCAGCATCCAGTTGGGATGTTTCGATACACCAAATCACTCCATGTAGGGAATCATATGGATGTGTAATAGACTAGGGAAAGCCCTGGCTGGGTAGCCTGGTCAATTTTCCTGCTTCGCTGTTTGAGCTACACTCCCAATATATTATAAGAACTGCAGTCATGTCATGACTCATCTTGTCATTCTTTCAAGCAATGCATGGCCTGAAGAACGCCATATACTCGAGGTCCACCAGGATGAACTACGTAGACACGATCGCCATCTGGGACTGCCATAGATGGCTATATGTATTCCCTTGGCACCACCACCCAGACGGTGCGGCCGCACCACTCGGCCGCACCTGCCAGTCCCGGTGTCGACGTGTCCCATGGGACCGGGGTGGCTGGGCCTGGCGGGCCCCCCGTCGTCTGAAGCGAAACGAAGGTACGACTGGAGGCCTAGGGGGGGTGATGTTTAGATGATTTAACCCTAGACTTCCGTTCGACCATTAAAAACATGGTTGACCTGGTTTTTGTAGTCTAAAAGCCTTAGTTGATTCGGTAACGCCTATTAAATTAATGGTGGTTGGAAGCGTAGGGTTAAGGGTCCATAGTATAGGTCCCTGGACCTTCCTGTCGGGGTGTCCTGGACGATCTCTCAGTCGTGGGCTGGGGCGAAACCAGCCAGGTGACCCCGTTCACGGAAGGTGCTGGTCAATATTCCATACAAGGAGCGTGTGGGGTGCATAGATGACTACATACCAGTGACTGTAGCCGGTGCATCACAGCTTATCCACTATATGCTCCATGCATGGTGCATCACTTGAACCAAAGGCAGCTCAGTGCCCCTCCGACCCTCAAGTGGAGGCAACGATGGGTGCAAGTACTTCGGAGACTGCTGCATGGACTATGAGGACCAATGTGGGAGCGGCAACGCGGGCAGTGACTCCGCTCCTTGGTGTTCCAAATACGACTCGGACCGACTCGGGGCGGGTCCGACCCCTCGGTCCGACGGCCTCGGTGCACCCACCACAGCACCAGTGTGCTGCTGCAGCGCCCACCAGGTCCAGGGGATGAAGGTACGGGCCCTACTGAACGGAGGGTCCAGGGTCGGGTAAGGTCCTGTGTCGCGAGTTCCGTGGAGGATCCGGGTAGGGTTTGCCCTATTACCTGCAACAGTCAGTAATTAACTATTTATTGCTATGTTTGAAGGCCTTTGCTAACTAACCACCATCATCCACTGTTACAGGTGACAGACCCAAGATCCCATTATTAAAGAAAGACACCCGAGGTGTGCACGTCGCGTTCAATCTTCCGCCATGAAGAAAGGGGGAAAGGATTGAACGCTGAGCGTCCGAACGCTCCGTTCGTAGAAATGCCTTTTCCAGACACGACTAATGGGACTGCCATATATGCCTACATTGGGGTGGTTTGGGGGGTCAATGTAGGCATATATGGCAGTCCCATGGAGTGTCTGGGTTTGTTACTACGTAGTAGCTTCTTGCTCCTAGTAGTAAGGCCAGGAGCTACGTTCGTAGCGTCCTTGCTCCGTTCGAGTCGCGATGCCCTAGTAACTTTCTAGACTTTTGGATGGGATAGCCAGACTTGCGAAGGGGAGCAGATCTGTAACACTCACCAAACGTCCAGATTGGTTGGGGGGGTCTTGACGTTTCAATGTGTTGTTACTGCTATCCCAGATGTACCTCAGCTGCTCCAGAACAACGGCATGGAACGTTCACCCTGTTCGAGGATGTCGCGAGAAAGGATTGTTTCTCGCCGTGCCGCGGGCTGCGCCTTTGGTTCGACCATTTCTAGTCCAAAATTCTCAGGAAAACCATGGTTCTTCGCTATACAGATCCTGAAAGAAAAAGACTGGGGACACCTCGTGTGTCTGGCCCCGGATAACGCCACTGACACAGTGGCACAGCTCCACTGAGAGTCCGTAGCTCTTTCATGTTTCATTGATTCCACTGAGGGCCCGCAGGGGATGCAGGGCTCCTGCCGGGAATTCGGCTGTGGCTCCAACAGTCGTGGTTGCGAGGGCGTGGCCAACTGCAACCTTTGCCCCTCGAAGAAGATGTCGCGCACGGGGCGGTTGGGGATTGTGATGTTCGATATGGGTGCATCCCCGTTTAAGAATATAGGCCTGGTTCTTCAAAGTGACCTTTTGATAACCTGGTTTGAGGTCACTTAAGCCTGCTAAGGGTCACTTAAGAACCTTCAAAAGGTCACTTTGAAGAAGCTGGGGGTTTTCAGTGTCAGTGACTGTTAGTGTTGGTTGGTTACGGCTGGGGTCCATGTTCTACTCCATGTTGATGAGTCGGAAAAAACAAATACATTAAGAACAAGAACCGAAGACGTATGGAAGGGTCCGTTTTTTCGGGGGGGGCATAGTTTCTGCATCGGCCCATTTTTCACTCAACCCGCTGGATGCTTTCGATTGGTGGTGGATCGAGAGCCCCACAAGAAGATCAGTTCCCCCTCCCAACGTTCCGTTCGGTCGGGTGATGCCGGTGGTGCGTTCGTCCCAGACACAACCGCCATCGGTTCCGGGGTGGTTGACTGGGGGTGTCTTGATCGGCCGGTCCCGGGGGTGTTTGGTGCCAGATGGCGGTCGTGTCTGGGGTGTTTGGTCCCAGAACTTCCGTTCTTTTCCTCATGAACTACGGATTGAGAGGACGAAGATGGCACCAGCTACCCCCAAGTTCGGGTGGCTTCCATGGACCCAGTTCTTTGTCTAAGACATCAGAGTATAGGTGCTAGTCGCGTCATCTACTCTGCAAAAGAAGGGAAATTTTGAAACATGAGCCTCGACAACAGGACTTCATAAATCTCGCGAATCGGATTTTCCTAGGAGTTTTAATTTTTTCTAGGCTCCCACGCCCACGTCAGCCCTGAGTACACACGGGTATCTAAAAGGCATAGACTTTGCATAGTTGGAAGATCTAGCTGTGGCATACATGGAGTGTCTGGGATTGTACCAAGCGCTAGGAGGCCGGGAAAATGGAACCGAGGATGTTTTATGTCGGTCCGCTTGGAAAACCCCAAGACTTCCAGAATTTCCACCTCGCGCCTCCGTGTCGAGGCGACTGCTCCGACTCTTGCAACGACAACGGCAACTGCTGTTCGGATTACAAGGCCATTTGCGGCGGAGGCCCGCCGCGCGCGCGAGCGGTCCAGATCGGTGGTGGCTCGGTGGTCCTCGGTGGTCCTCGGTGGTCCAGACGGGCTGAGCGACCATGGGCGTTTAGATCGGTGTGGTCCTGGGTGGGTTCAAGGTTCCAGCACCATGCAGGAAGGCCCGGAGGCGTCCCCCATCCCCAAGAAATCCCTCAACAAGAACGGGCGAAGACTGATGGATTCAGTGGGAGGGTCTGAATGTTTGTCATATAGGGTCCAGGAGCGCTTTGGGTATACTTCGGCCTTGGGATGCATGGGTGCACTTGGCCTCAAGGCTTTCTATATGAATCTTAGATGAATTTCTGACGGATGCTTTGGCTCCAAGATCCCCTTGAGACATGTGGGGTAGGCACAAGAGGTCTCGCACCAAATCCACACGAAATTGAGATACACAGCTTGGTCTTTCGTGCCATCTTCTTCAAAGATACTGAACGTTTGGAGTCCCTGACCGCGACCCATGACCAGCGTAAACCAGGGCATGATGGTTTGTGAACGGATCCAAGCCGGTCACAACGTTCGGTCACGAACCAGGTTAGGCGTGCTCATCACGACCGGAAGCACAAGAACCGCACAGCACAGCTCGTTTCTGTACATGTGGCAACCTTGCATCTTTTGTGTCGCGGGGAGGAAGACCTGACAGTGGTCAAATGATTGCATTTAGTTTGAACACCATAATCCATGGAATAGAACTTGGGTTTCCCCTAGGCTACAAGTACCTCCTCAGAAGGTATTTGGACAGCCTTGGTACCCACCCCAGTCCCACCTTCTCAGAAGGTACCACTGGAGGCCTAGGAGATGACACATTGCTTCTATGTTCGGTCTTCTCCAGAGGATGACTATACAAAGTGTTCTTGTTTGCCACTGGCTGCCACTGGCTGCCATGAGGAATCACGGTCCGACGGCAGGTGCTTGGGACATGGCGGGCGCCGGTGATGGCTACGATGGCGATGGGGACAGCTATGGCGATGGAGACGTCACTCGGCCGGCACGGACCGTCGACTCGCGGGTGGTCGTTTTCGTCGACGCGCGGATCGGGCGGTACGGGCGGACGGTCAGACGGTGTGAGGCACGAGCAGATCAAATGGAGATTGAAATGGGAGCCCAGTGGATCCCAGGCAAACCACTAATAGTATGGAACCAGGGATTCGTTCGGTCTATGGTTTGAGTCGAACTGGAACCACTGGTTACCAGCTATAGTGGTAACTGGATCCGCTGGGGGAGGGGTAAAGATGTGTCACTGTGTCATGCCTTCAATGGTCACCTAAAATGCTTGAGCATTGCTTGAGCCAAGGTTCCTTGAAAGGGTATAACTGGTGTCCTAGCCTTCAAAGACCATTAAAATGGTAAGAAAGGTTGGTTGGCCTCCTTTAGTAAGTATCTTCTCAAAACAATTGGTCGTTTCGGTTTTGGACACCCCGAATCAAAGGCTAGTCCATTAGACACCTCTTGGGGTCCTGATCGATGGTTGTTGGAATTCCAGGGGGATGGATATCACATCATTCATCCCCCAGACACGACCAGTCTGGGACTGCCAGGACGGACTGCCGCCCCAGACAGACCCCCCTGACACCACTCCTGGCCGTTTTGAAGGCAGTCCGGACCAGTCCCAGACTGGTCGCGTCTGGGGTACCAATTGAGGTACAAAAGTGAAGAAAAACGAAGACGGTTTTGGCACTCTGTGCCCGACTCGTTTCCTCCAGGGACCAGTGGTTTGGATTGGTGAGACTCCAAAGAACCACGAAACAAGCAACGCATCCCCAACTCGCCTTCAGTTCGACCATTAAAAGAATGGTTGATCTTTGTAGTCTGCAATTTCGGTCAAAACTAGGGGTTCTTTGGGATGCAGACCATTCAAACTGAAGACACACCCGTTGCTTGAATCCCTTTTGAGGCTCCTCAGTCCGTCCAAACGGCCGAAACAAACACCCCACCCTGTTTCCGAGAAACGTCCGATTCCCGAGGGTCAATATGGCAATGCCGACAAGGAGAGGGGGGAGGCTCCGGACGCGAGGTTCGCCCCGTCTTCTGTGGTGTGGTAGCGTGTTGTGTAGGCCCATAATAACCAGCAGAGGTTTTGAACGAACTCGACTATCCGAACTAGGTGTTTCAGGCTTTCCAGGTCCTAGTTCAGGTCATTGGCTGCCTCTGTTGGAGAAAAAAGGATCAAAAAGGACACGCTGACCAGACCATCCAGGTGGCAGGATCCCGGTGGCCGAAGGATCAAGCAGTGTCAGGTGGCCTTCGTCCGCTGCCGGATCCTTTTGATCTCTTTCGATCTGTTCCGGAAAGAGGTCAGCAACGGTTTCTGAGGGAGAAAGCACTGCAGCTGATAAAAAAATAAGACAAGAAGCATATACTTTGAGTGAGCAGATAGAGGGTCAGATGAGGTACTGGGTCAGAGCTGGACTTGTAGGGTTTTCAATCGACAACTCCTGTTTTGACCTCCAGATCCAGATCCACTGGACTGCGAAAGAAAAAACACTGAGCTTCTGCGTGACGTGGTCGAAAGGACGCTTGGAGCTGGATCCAGAATTTCGATCCTCTATACCCAGACGCTCACAGCCCTCACCACCCTACTGTCCCTCAAAACCGGGATGGGTACCAAAGCTCCCCCCCCCATCGCTACCTACGAGTCACCAGGCCCCGTGCATCGCCACCACGCACGATTCCGGACGTCCGGATGGCAAGTCATGACAGTCACAGGGTGGGACCCACACAGCACGCGCTTTTCGCGCGGAAGAAGGGAGTTCTTTCAGGTTTTGCATTGGGTCCGAAGAAGATCAACCACGAAGATCTTCATTCTTCATATCCCACACACGACCAGTCTGGGACTGCCAGGACGGACTGCCGCCCCAGAAAGACCCCCCTGGCACCACTCCAACTGATCGGCAGTCCTATGGCAGTCCCATGTGTCGTGTCTGGGTATTATGGTCTTCATCTATCCAGATACGATGTAATAGCTATATAATATATATAGATCCACCCAGACGCTCCGTGAACGATGCCCGACCGGTCCCGAACCAAACCATAGGGGTGAAGTAGGGTCCGGACCCGTCCACATCAAAAATACGGCCCCTACTGAAAGCAGGGTCCATGAGCAGCTATGATCCACGTGCAAACTTTGGATGTAGATGTAGGATTGAACAAAACAGGAAGGAGGTCCCAAGCATCCATGGTCCATGGGAGAAGAGAAACACCCTTGAGAGCTTGAGAGTCCAGTCATGACTCATTTGATAATTGGCCCCTAGAAAAGCCAGGACCTTCCTTCACAGGTCACCACCGTCGCGACTTGAAAAGTCTACAAAAGCCTCCAGTTCGGAGACCTGTTGGAAGGTGCTGGTATAAATAAAAATAAATATATAAATTATTGCTATAGTGGTGCATAGTGACTTCCAGGTCGAGTAGATACCAAGTTCGTCGAGTTCCGGATGTGGTACCTAGATATGTGATGCATTTTTAATGAATGGGGTACCGGATACATGCATGTCACTTAGTAAATCTGTTCACATGGGAGTTCAGCAACCATTGGATTGAACCGTCTTTACATAAGAACCATGAAGGATTAGACCACCAAAACCAGCTCAGCTTCTGAAGCATTGGGTGACCAGGAGGGTTCCACCACCTCGGGGAGCCCACCACGTCGTCCCACGCTGCAGGAGGGTGATTTCGAATTTGGTCCCTGGGACGGTGCCGGTGATGGCCGTGGCAGCGGCGAGAAGGAGCGGGTGAGTCGACCGGGTGGCTCCCGGGCGGCGAGCGGCGACCTGGTGGTTCCGGTGGGAGGAGGATGGAGGGATCGGGCCCGCTTGGCCCGGGGTTGAGATGAGCCTGAATCCTGAAGCACCAATGCTTTCATCCTAGGATACTTTCGGATTTGACACACCTAAAACCAGATCAACCTATGTAACTACTACCAGCACCCTCCTGGCCAGGCTCTTAGTTGAGGGTTGTTGGACCCTAACAGGTCTCAATTGGTGACCTGTCGGAGGGTCCTGGTATACCTTTACTTCATGAACATGACCCTAATGTAAATACATCTTCCAGCCCTCTGGATGCAAAGGGGCTCCCGTAAAGAGACCCGCCACACCACTGTGGGAACAGTGGAGCCTGACCTCGGAGCTCGTGCAGGGTAGGCGATATGAAAAAGCCCAGCTAACAGAGTGGTGCTGAAGGGATCCTGTCGACAGGTTGAACAGCCTTATAGCCCATCCCATGTCGGGATTGAAAGATGTTCGTCACCCAGCATGTCAAGCAGATGAAAAACAAAAGGAAGAAAACCATCCGGGTGGTTTTGGAGTGTGTTTCCTGAAGGTCTACAGCATATCTACAGCCCAGATGGATGTGAAGAGTGCTGGGGAAAAGGGTTTTCTTGCCGAAAGCGAAGTCCGGTGACCCGCGGAGTCAAGAACTTCCTGAACAGGAACGTGTGGGGCAAGTTTGATCGGAGGAGAACCTGGACCTCCAGGGTATGTGAGGTCCGACCCCCCCCTACAGGTCAGTTGCACCTCATCTGAGCACACACTTAGGGGATAGGCTTCGGACGAGACAACCACCGCTCCAGTCGACCTGGTGTTGGTTTCGGCTTGGAGACCGTACCAGCTGGGTCCTGCTTTCTCCGCTCCAAACCGTGCCTGCTTTCTCCGTGCATGCTTTCCTCGCGCGGGGGGAGAGTCCGATCGAGACAGCTAGGCGTCGAACTCTGAGACCACGGAGAAAGCCACGACGACCCAGGCGGGACAGGACGATGAGAAGCCCGAGGAAGGTGGGTGGATCCGTTCACTCGCGAGGCGTTCGGGTCGCCCCGTTACTCGCGTCCGATCGTTCCCTTCGTAGTAAGGCCAGGAGCCCCTAGTAGTAGCGACCGATCGCTCCGTTCGTAGCGATGGTGGATGAGAAGAATACTGGAAAGATTCGAGATCCGCAATCCCTCCAGTGGTTCTTGATGTTCTTATCAGTGGTATTCAGGCGACCTCTTAACCCTGTGCAGGGAAATGGATTCCACAGAATCTGCAATGCGTGATGCGTGGTAAAATAAAGTGTGCCAAGGGAAATCGTGTTTCAAGACATAGCCCTCCTGTGTCTGCCCCTTGCCACGTTCAAAAGCTACATGGCTATGGGTCAGTACTACGCAGTACCCCACCAAACCATGGTAGGTTGGCATCCCTTATGGAGGAGTCTGTTCATGTTATAAGGTCATTTTTTGCGGACTGAAGAGACCCCTTCCCATGAGGTGTTTGACTTGGGGTACCCGCAGGAACTTTTGAAAGTGGGATGAAGATCCTTTATCACTCTTCAACAATCGTTATTTGAATGGTCTGAATCCCAAAGATTCATTGTTTTACCAAGGATTCTACATACACAATAACTTGGTCAACCAAACTCTTCGAGTGAATTTTCGAACTGAAGGCGAACGGGATGCCCCTTTGTCCTGGGAAGTTGTGATCCATCTACGTACAAGTACCTTGAGAGGGTGTTCCATTCGAATCTTGCATTTGGCGCCGACAGGAGGGAGCTTCCCACCACGACGCTTCTCACGAGTACGGCAATCATTATGGAGACGTTGGTGACTCCGCCGGCAACTATGGCGATGCCGCGGACCAGGCCGGCGGCGAGGCCGGCGGGGAGGCCGGCGGGGAGGCCGGCGGGGAGGCCGGCAGCGAGGCCAACGGCGAGGCCAGCGGCGAGGCGGCTGGAGGAGATGCTGCTGGAGATGCTGGTGCGGGCGATGCTGGCGACGCCGGCGATGCGGGCGACGCCGGTGCTGCCGGCGACACCGGTGCTGCGGGGGATGCCGGCGATGCGGGCGATGGAGGCGCAGAGAAGACGGAGACGGAAGCACCAGAGCCGCAGTTGCCGGCTGCAGCACAGAAGGAGTCGTACGAGGCGGGTCACAGCATGATGTGACTTCTTCTCGCCAAGCAACAATGGACCAGGGACGTATGTAATTACCGGGACCTTCCCAGTGACCTTTTCAGGATTGGCAAGTGACCTTTGAAAGACCTAAGTGATCTCATACATTACATTCTGAGGTCACTGGGAAGGTCCTGGTAGATGTCTATTTTGCGGGTGGGTGTACTTGAACCAAGTGAACGATAGTGAGCTTGTCGCAGCGTACTAAAGTATACGTATACTTCGTTCCATCTTTCTTCGGATGCCAAACTGATGGAAGTGCTCGAATTAGATACAGGGATGCGCGGGAGTCAATCCCCCCGGTCCCACTCCATGGGACTGGGACACCAAATCAATTGACCCCTCTGTCCGCCGTGACTCTCTCGTGGACACACCCCAGTAGCCCCCTTCCACTGGGGGTGGTGTTCCAAACACACCACGGTCAGTGGTTCGGGTCCCAGGGCCCACACTCATGGGCCCCAGGTGAACCTCTCACAGTGTGAACCTCTCTATAGGGATCAAAAGGACCAGAAAGAGAGTACTTTTTGGAGTCCTTTGATGTCCTTTTTCTTGTTCCATCTATAAATAACCTTAGTAAACCTCTGGGAAGGTCCTGGAACTTGAGATCTGTAGTGAAACCGCGGGGATTTCCCCGCGCTCGACTCGTGACGTTCGGGTGACCACGCGCTGGGTGACGTTCGGGCGGGTGGCACTCGACACTTTTTGGACACCTCGGACCCACAGGGTAGCTCCTGGCATCGCTATTAGTAACAACCAGGGGCCCCACAAATCATCAAAAACCCGGTTTTCCCTATAGCAAAAAACATGTTTTTGTGTAAACCTTGGTTTTTCATGGTTTTGAGGGCCGCTGGAAGAAGCTACTAGTAACAAGGGGGCTCGTCGCTACGCGCGCTACGGGTTCGGAGCGAGCGAGCTCGGACGCGAAGCGAACGGGGCGACCCTGGCCTTACTACTAGTAACTTCAGAATCTACTATAGTAACAAGAAGCAATAGATGTTGTAGATCCTGATCGATAGAGTTCAGAATCTACTAGTAACTTCAGAATCTACTGTTGACCCTGGCGTACAGAAGATCGATAGAGTAGATCAATAGATGTGGTTTTATGGTCCAGCAGTCACAGCGATCAGGGTGCCGGTTCCAGAGGAAGGAGTGCAGGTGCCCCTGTCACGTCACATCCAGGGGCGGTTCTGGCTAAAAAACATGCGCAACACGGCAACACCATCCCTTTATGACTCCAAAAGGGTCTCCTGTTCGGGTCGTTGGTCCCCTTTTCCCCGTCCCTCGGTGGTCCACCGACGCCGGAATCGCCAGGAGTCCCAGGAGATGGTGAATTCCATCGGTGGCGACTCCTCGAAGCATGACGTCTTTGAGGCGAATCGCAAAGCCTGGCGCCTGGGCACTTCGAAAGGGTTTGTTGGCCGTGAACACCCCCGCTTGGTTCGATCGACCGCGTGCACCGGTCGTTCGACCGGCGCCCCCTTTGTTGTTGTTTCTTCCGGGGTGACCCAGAGACTTCAGGGTACACTCTGACTCACATGGGCGAAGTGGATGGATGTCCTAGGTGCTGGGAAGACCATGTTCCTCTATACAAACAGGCGGGTTTTCCACTTGAAAGAGTGAGTGAGTGTACCCTCCCTCCACACATGGAAGCTGACCAGAGGAATTGTAGTCTTCCAGTAGCCCAGGCTCCACTTCGAATGATGGTTTCACGGAGTGTTACCTTTTTTAATACCCAGACACTCCATCCCTGCGAACCCGGGAGATCAGTTTAACGAGTGCATATGTATAAGAACGACTTTCACTGCATGACTCTGCACGCCCGCTCTCTGATCACTTTTGGTACACTTCCTCCGATCATCGTCGCTTCCAGGCAGCCGACATGGTGGTTCACGGGTGTTTCACGGGTGTTTCACGAGTGTTTCACGCGTGAATCACGGGTGAATCACGGGTGAATCACGGTACACACCCAGGTTTTCTAGTCTCTAATCAAGTTTAACTAGTCTCTAAGCAAGTTTAACTAGTCTCTAGTCAGGGTCTGCTCACTGTGAATCACGGGTGAATCACGGGTGAATCACGGTATCGCCCATTAACGTTTTCTTGAACAATATTGGCTAGAAGTATATAAGTTTTTACTCCACAATCACTCTTGGTACTAATTTACAGGTGGTTAGAGGTGGTTAGAGACAAGTAAAGTACGATCTTTAAAAGTAAAGTACGTTCATGTGAATGAATTTGTTATGAGCAAGTTTAACGAGTACTTTGGTTCATAGGGCATGTATGCCAATATGCCTACATTGACCCCCAAAACCACCCCAACTGATCGGCATATATGGCAGTCCCATTAGTCGTGTTTGGGATATCCATTGATCCACCGTACCGAAGATGCGACGGGGCCCCAACATGAAGCAGTAGACACATCAAGAGAGTCTCCCTGCTCACCGTACCGGCTCGTCTGTGGATCTGTGGATTTCCTGGCCCGGTCTGAAGAGCATGGGAGAGCAATGGTTGTTTTGCTACTAAACATGTTTTACACGACAACACCAAGACTAACCCATTTAACAAGAGGGTCTTGGACTTCCAGGGTATACTTAAAGCGGTTACCTAGCTAGGATTCTAACAACAATTTAGTGTTTACCGAACCAATCATTGTTTTGTTAAGGAGTTCAGACTTCAGACTACAAAACCAGCTCAACAAGTTGTTCAATGGTCTTGGACAACCAGGGATAATATATATATTTGTCAACCATCTGCCAACCTTGGCAGCCGATCGACCATTAAAAGAAAGGTTGACCGATGTTGACCCATCCCATTGTACTGTAAAATCCTGAAGATTCCTTCGCTATTCAAACTGCCTGCGCACGTTGTGTCGTGCGCAGTGTGTCCGCCGTTGGCCCGCTCAAGACGCGTCTCCAAAACCCCCAGCGACGCGCGCAGGTCAGTAAAAAAGGCTTCAAGAAGTCGTAAAGGTGCAAACTTGTGCTCAAACCATAGATTCGCACAAGAACAAATGCTACTTCCAGGAAGGTTCAGGCTTGGTAAAACAATGGTTCGATCATGGGCTCCAGACCCTAAAAACTAAGGGTGGTTGGAGTTTGGAACTACGGATCCAGTTCTATTCGCCCGCAATCCAATCTCAGACAAGTCAGAACTTGCTATGACTCTCTGACTGGAGGATGTTCTTAGAACGACCCTCTCTGACTGGCGCCACTCTTGGAGGCCCCAAGGTCCCGAGAGTCCTGGTACGCTGCGCGAGCTGTTCGAGCTGTGAACTACCTGGTCTCACCAGGTCCAACGAGTCCGGTGCCAACCAGTCCAGCGCTGTCTCCCTGGAGTCTCCCTTGTCTCCCTTCACTACTCGTCTCCCCTGTTCTTCGTGTCTCCCTGGCCGAACCAAACCAACGTCGTCATGTTCGTAGGTGGTGGGAAGCCAATTCAAGCGCTCATCGTTGTTGTCTGGGAGGTCTTCTTTCGGGTCGAGGTGTGATGGATCCATGGGGTTCAGACCCGATCATGTTTTTTCCCCAGCTCGGCTTTGACGGCAAGCCGACCGCCAGCGGTAGCGCGGCGGCCGATGCTCCACGAGGCTTGAAATGCTCCAATGGCAACAAGTGAGTGCCTGCCCAGCTCAGATGGTGGACAAGGACATCATCGGTGGCCGCATGGCACTCACCGACGGAAAAGCGCGATCGACGGAGCGCACTCCTCGGGCTTCTCGACGGAGCGGCCGCTGATCGAGTGTGCCTCTGGACGGGTTTAAAGGTTGACTGTCCAGTCCCACCGTCTCACCCATCGTGTTTGGGAAGGGTTGGCAACCATGAAACATCGTTGAAGCAATGTAATAAGAGTTAGAATTTTGAGGGGAAGAGTTGTAGACATGTGAACCCCAATTTGAACTGACCGAGCTTTGTTGAGCCAGCCCAGAAAACTTCAGCTATGATGTAGACTGTAGACTGATGAATCAAACTCACCTAGCATCTCCTGGCTTACCAGTAGAGGCTGAAGAACCCTATAGACTATCCTAGCTTGGTGCCCCCAGGTTTTCCGGGTCCTAGTGACCTGGTCACTGGCTACCTCTGCTGGTAGGATTTGAAGATCAACCCCAAGAAGGTCACCTCGGAACCTGGGGACCCATGTCTTTCGTCTTCCGTCTACCCCGGTGACTGCAGGTCCGCCGCTGATCCGTGGTGGGGTGGAGTGGTGACCGGTGACCGAAAGCCAAGGCCAGAACTTGCAGAGTATCCCTCACGTGCCTGCAGCTGCATCGATCGAAAACGAGTGGTGCAGGAGGGGCTTTGAGTAAGAAGTTTCGTACATGGATTGAGTAGATGGCACTGGCACCCCAAGATATCGTTTATTATAGAAGGCTCCATGGACCAGCCAACTTGGGGCGCCCAAACCGTGCAATCTACGCTGAAAAACTGAGTGGTCTTCCAAGTCCTTCGACCGTCCAAGACGGAGTGGTCGACTGGTCGACCGGGGCGTCGTGATTTCGACTGGGGCACCCCTTCTCAGATAGACATGTTTTGACGGTCTCGAGCTCTGTTGTGAAAAGCTCTGCCCAGGGACAGTCCACTTCAACTCTACTTGGCACCCCCGATTCGTCCTTCCGCATGCGACGTTCATCCCCGATCCGCGGGCGCACCGCGGGCGCATAGCGGATCGCACGGCGCACGGCTCTGATGTGGGAGGAACGATGGCACGACCGGCCCAGGGAGGAACGATGCCCCCGGTGAAAAGACCAAGCCGCAGATGCTTTTCACTCACAAAGGAAGGGTCAGGAAGGGTACTCGTGTCGGAGGAGACCCGAGGAGTCGAGTCGGAAGGATTCTGAAAACGAATGAAAAGTCGGGTCAAGCGTATAGGTCGACCCACTTGGACTTCGTGAACGGGGCCGCTAGGGTCAGGTTTCTCCCACTGAACATGAACAGTTTTTCGTTCGCCAGGTTAAGTGATCCCCTACTACCGGTGTTTTGAGATCCACCACTGCCACACCCAGACGCTCAAAAATATACTTACTGTACATACATTGTGCCGGTTGATGGCGTCAATGTTGCCATATTACATTCTATACATGGAGCATCTGGGATATGATACACCCTACCTAGATCTTCCAACGGTGCAACATGTTTGCCTTTTCATCTAAAAAACAGCTCAAAGGCACCATTTTTGTAGTTGGCAGATCCAGGTCCTAGGTCCTTACTAGGTCCTTATAGGTCCTCCCGCTTTGACCGCCACGTCGGTCCTCCCTGGTCTCGAACAGGCCGCCGTTTGAGCGGAGAGCGATGTATAAAAGTGGAACTGAAAACGCACTTCTGAGGACCAGAGACGGAGTCTAAGACATGGAACCAGAGAAGTGGAACTCAAAGCGATGACCAGAGAGGCGGTTTTTGCTTTTCAGATATAACCCAGACACGACTGGATGGGACTGGCATATATACTGATCAGGCCAGGGGTGGTGCCAGGGGGGAAGCCTATATATGGCAGTCCCATGGAGTGTCTTGGGTAAGGCCATGTCGTTCTGAGAGATTATGAGTCCTTTTCCTGGATCTCTCAGAAGTGACTTTTCCCATGGATGGTTTGGATTTCTATCCCTAATAAGATATATCCTATATCCAAAAAAGTGTGCAAGTGGATTATAGATTCTTTACATCTGATCTGAATAAATTAAGATTTTCTTTACAGCGGTCTACCTCGACACACTCAACCTGAACAATCCCTCTTGATTGTCTATTAGCCCTTGGAAGAGGCTGAGTTTTTCAGTGGCTGAATACATCGAGGAACCGAACCAGACTCTCTCCGAACACCCGAACATCGTGACCAGGTAGATGAGTCGAAGGCACGGGAGGCAGTGACAGGAGGATTTCTGATTGTCCAATGTACCTGGAGTCAAGGAGTCACAGGCTCGGGGTGGTTTGCCTCGTCCCATCCGTCGCAGGCGGTTGCTGGATGTGACAGGAGCACCTGCGCTCCGGAACCGGAACGGGCACCCCGAGCTCGCTCGCTCTGTGACTGCTGGTAAGTCACTCTTCAAGTCCGGAGCGGTTTCCCTTCCCCAGGTCACCAGCGCCGCGGTGTGCCAACGCCTCTGCACCGAGCGCAGCTGCGGCGCCAGCGCTTGGGGCGCCGCACGAGAGCAGCCAGGTGGCGCGCGAGAGCAGTGAGGGTGGGGAAGATGGGGAAGATGGCCCCCCTTCTCATCAACAACTACGAGGTCTCGTCCTCAACGTCTGAACACCTTCAACATGCAATGCAAAGTACTAAAACATGTGTGTGTTTTTCGAGAACACTGGAAAACACGCACCCGTTTTTGACGGCCTTTTCTGTTTTTGTTGGCACCCGCAAATAGAAAAAAGTAGATCCCGCTTTCAATGTGGTTAGCGGGTTTCTGACCGGGGACCACGAGAGAAAAATCCGAAACACGCGGAGTCTAGAGATGACGAAGGAGATCGACGAAGTAGCAAGCTGACCGGAGTTTCCGGGGCCGACCAGGAGTCTTTCTCAGGTAGTTGAGGTGTAACATACCAGGACCTTCCAACAAGGGCTGCCCTGGCTGGTTTCGCCCTGGAAGCCCCTAAACCACTAAGGGACCTCCAGCCAGGAGACCCCGAAAGAAGGTCCAGGTAAGTTTGGTGGACATTACAAGCAAGGTTGGTCGCGGACACCAGTGGCAGGGGAAGCTATGTCCGCTTTCTACTATGTTTGGCAAGATGCAAAAAAGAAACAGTTCCTGAATCCTCCGTCCTGGGTCACCAATAGACTACCCTACACATCCCTACACTCATTACTTATGGTCGTCCAGTTGGTGTTCAACCAGATGCTTCTGATGAAGCTGTCATGTTCGATTGCAAAGCTTCCACCATCCTGTTTTAGGGCTTCGGATTCGGAAGTCAAACAGCTTGACCTCATTGGGGCCTTTAGGTGCTGTGTGGGTGCGGTATTGGAACATGAAGATCTCCCAGGTCGACCACCTGGACGAAGGCAGTTCTGCCTGGATCCTCCAACGACCAACTGGTGAATCAAGCGGTCTTTCTTGGTGTTCCGCGGGTTGGGGGACCCGCAAATCAGCGCCGTTTACGGCAAAACGACCGCAAACTAGCGCAAGACACACGCAAAAAAAGAGAAACAGCAAAGGACCCACACAAATCCGGAGAAAAAAACATGAACGAAACAAACAACGACCAAAACGTCCAGAAAGTCTTGGTAGTTGGAAGGTCCAGGAGAGACCAATGCCAATGCCCATGGTTGAGGGTCTCTCGATTTCACACGCAGTTCGACCTTGCAAGTTGACTATACCCTGGAAGACGATCCCATGGACCCTGAAAACCACTGGTTGGTAGAGGAAAACCATCGGACCCAGGGGGCCAGGACGTCAGGGTCTATGTGAGTTTTCGGGAGTGTATACTTCTACTTGCAGGCCAGTCCTTTGTGGGCCAATTCGAGTTGAGTAAACGAGACTTTGCCCACACCATCCCACACCCATACACGACTAGTCTGGGACTGCCATAGGACTGCCGAGAAACGGCCAGGGGTGGTGACATGGAGTGGATGGGACATGCAAGATACAGGTCCTGAAGACACAAGGCTCTTTCAGCACCACCAGCACCACCACCATGCTTGTGTGCTCGGCGGGCTCCCCACCACCTCACACCCTCGGCACCACCTCACGTTCGAAGCTCCGGACGCAGGACTCACCGACGTGTGCTTCTTGAAGAACATCGACGGCGAGGCGCCGTGAACCGGAGACGGGTGACAGGTCCGTCGTGAAGCGGAGACCAAGTCGTACCTTCTCAGGTACGGTGATTGGAGGCACTGTTACCCTGGGAGTCAAAGATTATAAACAGAATGGTCTGATGAACGGTGACCGGAAAAGGAATATGCTTTACTTCAGTGGGGCAAAATATAGTCGAACTGGACTTCTAGGGTTATGTAGGTGCCAGGAGGGTCCAGTCGTACCGAACCTGAGAAGGTTCTTGGATGAGTCTGGGACTGCCAGTCCGGACTGCCGGGCTAGTGGTGCGGAGGAGTGGTTAGACTGGCGGTCTGGCTTGATCGGCAGTCCGGCAGTCCTGGTCGTGTCTGGGAGGGCGGCCGAGGCGGCCGCGGCCGTGGAACAGGGCAGATCGAAGGCCCAAAAGGAGGGGATTGGGGAGGTCTCTTGAGAGGGCAAGAGGGAGCTCAGGGAGGATGGAGCCAATGGATGGGGCGAAGATCTCTCAGTGTTCTTTCAAGTTCAGCAAAGCTTAACCTGACCTCAGAGCCCCCTGACCTCGATGTATGTTCCATCATGTTCCATCCAAACCACCCTTTGCATCGTGGCAGATGATTCAGTGCATGGCTCTTTTGGGCTCCTCGCTTCGGCGGCTACACGCCGGACGGAGCTCGTGGCCTCGCCACGTGGGCGGCGTGGGCGGTCGCGGCGAGCGGGCGGCGGCAGGTGCAGTTCAAGGACAACCCCGGAGTCGTGGCCTCCTTGCCCTGCTGCCGCGGGGGAGAGGTTCGGCGCCCCAAGTAGTTTGGTACGTGCGTGGTTTGTCGTGGCGTGGAACGGGAGAGAGGGGCGGAGAGCTAAATCACTTCTGGAAAAAGGGGAGGGAGAGGAGGTGCCCTTCACGAGCGGAATCGATAAAGGGGAGAAAAGGGGTACAAAACCACTCAAATCCAACGGAGCTCGTGGAAAGTGCGGGTTGTCGATCCGCCGGTCGATCCGGGCGAACTGAGGGTCACTGAGGGTGGACACTGGAAAGGAGTGTGGACAGGTGAGGAGGTGATGATGCTTTCATGAGGAGGTATCTTGATCCTGCTTCAGGTTTGGAGTGTCTCCAATGACCTGAGAAGGTACGACTGGATCGCTAGGCTTGAACAAAAATCAAAAGCTATAAGAATCCGGGCATATCCGGGCCCAAACCTCCCATGAAGAAGAGAGTTTTCTGGGTCCGGACCCTTTATCGCCAGTGCCATGAAAGGTCCAAGGTTTTTGAGGGAAATGTGAAGCACCCAAAAGAAAGACTGGTTGTCATTCGTAAACGAGGCAGGTCAACAGCTTGCCGGATAATGATCAAACTGTTGTTTAATCACTGTCACTTTTTGCACTTTTTGGTGGCAGCTTGTTGCTACTAGTTGAGTTTGGGAAGGGGCACTCCTTGAAAAGGAGTTCTTAGTTCATCGAACTGTTGCACCTGCCTTTTTTCAGGAAAGACGATGTTGAACCCCCCCACAGGCTGCGAGTCCGGAGCTCCAACACCGTCCCCTCCATCCATCGTGCCGAGTCCAGAGATCCCGAAGGGGGGGGCGGCGGTTCCCTAAGTCCGGAGGTCCTGGGCCTTCTCTTGCCCACCAAAAAGACCTCCGACCCCCGCGGAACCCGACGCGACTTCCCGGTCTCGGGCGACCTGGGCTCCGCTCGCCGACCCGCGGAGATCCGAGACCTGAGACCTGAGACGAGGCGGATTTGTGTCCGGCGTTGCTGCCCGAGACCGATGTGGTCACACCCGACGGCCTGGAACCACAACAAGGCCGGAAACCATCCGACCGTTCACGGCGGAACTGGGGCACCGCGGGGTACGACACGGACGGCGCGGAACGGAAACCGGAGCTGCAGGGTGAAAGGGGAGGCCTGCTGAGGTGCTGAGGTGGCTTTTCTCCCTCGACTTAAGGGGGAATGGATCGAGAATGGATCTACCAGGACCCTCCTGTCGGGGTGCCCTGTCTGGAAGCCTACAGGTAGTGTGGGGTAGTCCATTGGACACCCCGACAGGAGGGTCTAGGTACTTGTAGACCCTGATGCTCGGTGGACAGTTGGATGAAGAACCTGCGCCAAGTCGCGAGCGGGTGACCGCTCGAGAAAGCGGAGTGTGTAGACCAAAAACGGACAAAAACCGACCTCACCAGGTACGTGAAAGTGTTCAATGTTGTTGTTCCAGATGTTTAATGCCCAGACACTCCATGGGACTGCCATATATGCCGCCCCATTGACCCCCAAAACCACCCCAATGGAGTGTTTGGGATGTGTTCCTTTTGGTTCGCACGACCCTGCCGCCGGATCCGTTGGTATGTTGTTGTTGGTCCAGGCTTCGGAAGTAGCTCGGAAGTAGCTCACAGACGGTTGATCAGCCCAGTGAACAGAAGGTCACATTCCTGAGATGTGAGTGGATACACTCATCTTCCTGAAAGAGGACATTCACCACCTGTTTGGTCTTCGGATTTCATCGGATTTCATGGTTTGGGGTCAGCGTGGGAGAAGCGAACTCTCGGGGCAACTCTTAGGGAGACATCGAGCAACAATCACATGAAAAGAAACGAAAAGTAATAATATCCAAATTACTTACCCTGGGAGTCAAAGACTATAAAAAGAATGGTCTTTAGGTGACCCGAAAGGGAACTTCCTTTACTTCAGTCGGTCAAAATATAGTCCAACTGGACTTCTAGGGCTTACAGTATTTCCAAGATCCAAGTTCATTTGATCAAAAACGTTCTAGGACTGTCTTGCAGAAAATCATGGATGCAGGACTCACATGGACCGCAGCATGGACTCCTTGAAGCCATCGGTCGGTGCTCTTTTCTCTGCCCGCGCGGCTCCCGCTTCGCCTTTCCCTCGCAAGGGCCCTCGCGGTGCCAGGTGTGAGCAGTGCGGAGGAATGCCAACAGATGTGCACCAAAGAGCCTTCCTGCAACGCTTTTGCCTGGGGTGCCGCCAGGAGCTGGAGATGGGAGCGGGAGATCCCTACAGGTCTGGGGATTTGGAGGGGAACCGGTCGACTTCTGCTCATGACGCTCTTGGGTTGGAGTCCAGTGCTTTTGGAGGATGTCTCAGGTTGGATGAATCCAGAAACTGACACTTGCATGCGAGTTGAGAAAATGCAGGCCGGACTGGGTCATGATCCCTGTCAGCCGCAACGGCCATGAACATGGTCGACCAAAAATAGTGCGACGGCCTGCGGGATCCACGTCGAAGATTGGTGTGACTCGTGTCATTCCCTATTCCAACCATCATTGATTTAATAGCCTTTATACAGTACCCAACAACCCTTGTTCTACTAAGGGCTTTACACTACTCAAACCAGGCCCACCATGTTTCCATTGGTCTTTGAAGGTGTTTGGGCATGTCCATCTTCTGCCAGCGCACGACAGGCATGACAGGTGCAGGAACGTGCCGTGGCTCAGCAACGCAGGAACGCGCCGGGGCTCACGGATGTTTGCTTCATGAAGACCATTGGAGAGGGTCAAAAGCCGAAGCTGGTGGACAAGCCCGGAGTCTTGGCAGGCGAGGTTTTTTCATGACGGCGGCTGTTCAAATGACGCCCGCGGTGAACGCGACCCCCCGGCGGTTCTTTCGGTGGCAAAGTCGTCGAACCGCAGAACCAACACGGTCACCACGGTCACCACGACCGCTATGTCCAGTGTTCGTTTCGACCCACAAAACAAGGAGCTCCAAAACGTCGGATGGCACCATGCCACCGGCGCGACGTCGTCGCGCGACATCGTCGCAGCGACTGCGTGGGAGGGCGAGTTCGACGAATGGACGATCGACGGTACCAGCTGTGAGCTGGGTTGGTGATGTTTGCTGATTTTCCTATGGATGCGTCCCCCGGTCATGGGGAATTCGCTGTAGTTCCCCCGGTTGGACAGCGAATCCACTCTCCATAGCAGGTGGTCAAAAGGTTGGTGTGTTTGGCCTGAGGTGGACCGTGGATGGTCTGAGGTCTGTGCGGATCAAACAGACCAAACGGGTGGGTGGATGTCCACTTCCCAGCTAGGATGCTATCAGGTGGAGGCCATCGCCAGTAGGTTGGAGGCCACTGCTAGTATTAAGACTTGGGAAGCAGCCAAAAAATGGTTTGGAAATTAAATTCATGTGTTTGTAATGTTTCACTTTTTAAATGATGTTTTTAATGATTGAATTATGCATTGAAAAATATCAATTTGTGGTTTATGATTTTTTACGACTAAATTTATGATGTTTTGTACGACTAACAATTAAGGTGTGGTATGTAAATGACTCGGACCGAACTCGCTACTACTAGGTTGGAGGCCATCGCTAGTCGGATTGAAGGTGTCCTTTTCCGACTTTCTTTGTCCTGGCTTTTGCAAAGAGGGTCTTTTTGTTGGGCCAAGATATTTCTCTCGTTTCTTACTTGGTTGGGCGCGCAAGTGCCCTGGTGAGGAAACCAATCCGACTGCAAGGGAATGCATGAGATGGATAACCCTGCAGGGAGCACTCCACTTGTGGCTTCTAAGACCAAATCCTGACCTTCTGCGATAACCACACCGAGATACAAAGACCCACCACATTCCACCACCTTGCCCGATCACCCGCCATTTGCAAACACGACCTGTGGTAGTTGGGACTTGCAGATGTACCTGGACCCTCCAAAGTACCTTAGAAAATGGGACATGACCCCATAAAAACAGGTACGAGTGGGACCCCATTTTTCCGAGGTACGTACGGGTCGACTCCAGGTACATCCCAAACGAGGTGGTTGAAGCTGCGCGCTATGAACAGCGGCCATTTGTAAACACCAGTCCTATGAGTCTTGAGTTGCACGTGTGGTGTGATGCGACGAAGTGTGTGTGTGTGTGTGTGCGAGCATCAATCACCCCAAAACCTGCCAAACAGTATACTTCACCTCCTCCAAAACGACCTCTACATACCTCAACCAGCCCAAACTCAAACCTCGCGAAGCAAACGACCTCCACCAGCCCTTCTACCTCGCGATAAAAAAAGGCGTGAAGACCCACGATCCATCTGAGCGGTCCCGTCGCAACGGATGTGGAAGGCCTCCCCTGCGCCTGCCGTGCGCCGGTGGAACACGCCTTGTGGCCCTCCTCAGAGGCACCCTGGCACGGTCGGCAGTGGTTGGACGCGGAAGGTACCCCGCGGTTCGGGTCAGCGCAGGCTGAACAGACCGACCCCCACATCCAACCACGCACTGAGAATTGAGAGGGAAAGTGGTCACCCAAACACACACAACATGCGCAGGGGTTTATTGAAATAGGGACACCTCCCAAGCGTTCCAACCCCCTGGAAGATGAGAAATAGACCAGTCTACCCATTGGTTCCAGGTCTCCATATTGAACTAAGTACACATTGCAGCCACATCCACATACTACGTAGCTCAGGTGGCACTCTTCACCATGCCGGAGCCAGCGCCGCCGCAGCCTGCCCAGCCGGGTTCGGCCTACTGCGTCGTCCTGCCACTTGGATCCCCTGGAGCCGCGCGCGGGCCGTTGGAACGGCGAAGCGAAGCGATGCTGAAGTGAAGTTCGTTGGACCTCGAGTTCATGGCACCTTCATGTTTCCGTGCGTCCAGTCTGACCCAGGTCCAAACCTGGTCCGACTTGTTCCTCCTGAAGTATGGGTTTTGTATGACCAGGTTCAGTATTTCATGAGGTCAAACTGACTTGGTTTGGACCATTGGACCCCCTCAAACACCACCCGTTGTCAGCGTTGGACTCAGGGGGAACCCCTTTTCCCCGAGTCCAAGTCTCCGGCGTCCAAACGCGACGCGATCGGTGCATCGGGGTCAAACGCGATCGAGCGCCAACAGAATCCACCACTCCGACAGTTTGGATTCTGGAGATTCTACAGACCTCTTCAATCGATGTATAGCTACAGTAATAGTAGTAGTAGTAGTAGTAGTAGTAGTAGTAGTAGTAGTAGTAGTAATAGTAGTAGTAGTAGTAGTAGTAAGTAGTAGTCATAGTGGTAGTGGTAGTGGTATAGTAATAGCAGCTTCTTGTTACTAGTAGTAAGGCCAGGAGCGCCCCGAACGTCGCGTCCGATCGCTCCGACGTCCCACATCGACCTCGAAAACCGCTCCGGCGAACGGATCCTCGAAGATCATCGTTTGGGGTCGGACTTGCCTGTAGAGCCGTCAGTGAACCAGCACCGACTCTACAGGTCTCCGAGTCATGGAGGCTTTTGTAGACTTTTTCAAGTCGCGACGGTGGTGACCTGTTGGAAGGTCCTGGAACATGGCATCACTATTTTTCAACTACCCAGATGCGACCCGTTCGGCCCCGAATTCTCTGGAGGGGTCGGACCCGAATCCTATGGAGGGGTCTGGGGAGGGACCAGTCGGGTTGTTTGGAGCGTCTGGCTAAGGCCACTTTAATAACCATCATCATCCACTGGGCCCTGGTAATGGGATAGACCCAAATCATCATCCGCTTGTGTTCTTTCTCGCCGCCCCAGGATGCGCGCCTACACTTATGAAGCGGGCTTGCTGAAGATCCAGTTCGATCAGCGACAAGGCATCTTTGCCTGTGGCGGCTATGACGTCTTCAGCAACCAGGCGCGTGCCACACAGAGGGGTTCATGGATGGACCTGAAGTACGTCCTTCTATTCCAAGCCCGTTCCCATGGCTGTGGTTTCGCTAGATAGTAGGTAGGGACAGTGGGAATCTCGTTGATCTTGGTCCGGTTGATAGAGGAATACCCTCCCTCCGAATCATCATGGGCCAACGTGGAAGAAAATCATGGGCCAACGCCAAAAACGGATGACCAGAAGTGTTCCGAAGACCCAGATTCAGCTGGTCCTTCACTCGCTCCACGTCCAACCATGATCATTTCCGGGGGTTCCTGTGCCTCATGATCCCTAGGGCTCCTACCTCCGAAACGAAGGTATCTGGACCCGAACATGGCACCCACCCTAAACACATCTAAACACCTTCTCAGAAGGTACGACAGGAGCCCTAGGGGCTGAGTGAAGCATGAAACTCCGTGGGTTTTGCGGTGCCCAACATCGAACTTTTTTGTGAATTCGTGGACGAATTGGGCACAGGTGTGTTCAACGATACCTGAAAAAATGTGTGTACTAGAATACAGGGAGACCTCTGGTCTAGACCCCTAATAGACCACAGCCCATTGGTGGGGAGATTCCTTCCCAGAAAGAAAAACAGATGGCTTGGGGCTCATGAGCCTGGAAGATACAAACATGTTTAGCAGGTGCGATCGTACATGAACCATTGGACGTTCCATGGTAGACTCTACTTCCATAGAAGTCCTTGGGGTTAAAAGCACCAGTCTATGGCTGACCCAGAAGTCTTTAACCAGGGACTTAGTTTGTATTCTGGAAGTCCGGCTCGGACCATGAACATGGGGTTGATCTGGTTTTGTAGTGTAAAATGCTTATGTAAGACAATTGGTTGGTTCGGGATTCAGACCATCAAATCATATTAACTCAATGCTTGGCCAGGCATCTCAGCATTTATCCTTGTTGCGGACTCTTTGCATGGCAATTGCGCTTGGCGCTTGCTGCAGAACACAACCATGACCACCCTCCTACACACTAATTTAATGTCGGTTGAACTGTTGAACAATGTTGAACAGACCTCTTTTATTAAGAAAAATGGATTTCACATGAGCAGATCATCAAGGATCTCACACAGTTGGTTCATATGTCATATGACCAATCCTTTTTGGGTGGGAAGGCTTGCAATGTGCTACTCCAGGTCTTGCGCTCGGCTGCAATGCTTCCGAGCGCATCGAAGATGGAATGGACCTATATCTCATTCAAATCACCCAGACACGACCCGGACCTGGGACTGCCAGTCCGGACTGCCGGTTGTGGTGCGGCCAGGGGTGGTGTTTGAGGGGTGATCGGCAGTCCGGACTGGCAGTCCCAGGTCCGGGTCGTGCTTAGGTGAAGTAGAAGAGAAGGACACGTCCAGAACGACCCACGTGGAAGCCCAAGAACTGGTCTTCGTCTGCTCACTCCTTCACGGTTGGATCCAAGCTCGGATGGCTCCCGAGACGGCTCCCCTGGTCCCGAGGTGTTGGCGGGTCGGAGCTCAAAACCATCCTCAAAGCCCATCCCTTTTCCCAGCCCCTAGAAGTCCAGTTCGACCATATTTTGACCGGTTGAAGTGTTCAGGAAGTTCCCGAACTCAGGTCCCCTAATTAGTCAGACCCTTCTTGTTATAGTCGACTGGACTCCCTTTTTCCAGCCACATCTCAACCATCTTCCGAATCCAGGCCGCCTTCCGAACCTCTGGGTGGCCCCCCAGGTCCCAGGATGTCCCAGGTCCCACCGGTGGTGTGGTCCGCTTTCCGTCGCCATGGGCGGTTGGGGGGGTTGGATCGGCTTTTTCCCCTGACGGCGCCAGGAAATGGTTTTGGCGGATGGGTTGAAGACCAAGAAGGTGAGGTCAAGTCAGATGTGCGAAGTTGGTGGAGAGCAGCTTGGCACGTTCTGGGGCTTTTTTCTCCTCACTAGCAGTCTAAACAAAGGTGCAGGAAGTGGTGGTTGAACATGGATGGACCTCAAAACACAAAAAAGAATTGCATCGTCACGGGACAAAGACACCCTGTGGGCCACCTCCTAGAAGCTGTACCCCGGGTAGAATCTTCGCCCACCATTGATTTAATAGCCTGAATCCCAAAAGAACCAATTGTTTTACTAATTATTAAGGATTTTATAGTGACAAGACGATCTTTCCCATTCAAAAAAAGGGTCTTGGACTTCCAGGGATACTAATATATTTGGGGTCTGTCCGAACTTACCTGTAGAGCCGTCAGTAAACAAGAACATCACTAATTTTGGGCAAGGCCTGGTACCTAACCATGATCAAAAAACTGTTACAGGAAATAGGATAGACCCAAAATATATCTGCAAATTCTGCCAACCTTGGCATCAAGGCGAGGTCCAGCGCGTGAGGCACCCATGTCAGGATGAACGCAGTGTCAAGGTTAATAGCAATGGCCTCCAACCTACTAGCGATGGCCTCCAACCTCCAACCAAATAGCGATGGCCTCCAACCTAATCGGGTTTGTTTTGGGCATGATCCTGGTGAGACGCACAATGGGGTTGGTTCGTGTATGGCGACACACAGCCGCGATCTGTGCAGATCCACCTTTTGGGGGGGCTGAAACCGAGGTTCAAGACGGCGCTGAATCTCCGGATTTTTGCGGCCTTTTGGAAGGAGATCTTTATCCAGAAGGCCGGAGTTCAGAGTGACGGATGGTGTGACGTAGAGATGAGGTGTAGTGTGTGGTTCACTGGCTTCCGAGACCATTAAAAACATGGTTGACCTCGTGTTGTAGAGCAAAATCCCTAGTAAAACAATGGTGGCTCAGTAGAGTCATTGAATTAATGGTGGGTCAGGAATCCTACAGTACACCTTCCTGTCGGGGTCACCAGTGGAAGTTCCTGCACTACTAGAAGGCCCGGGATTGAAGAACTTTGGGGGGACGTTGTGACGAATCACAGGTCGGGACCGGTTGACTATCTTGATGTTTCCTCTACCCTGGGAGTCAAAGACTATAAAAAGAATGGTCTGACTAGGGGACCTGAAAGGGAACTTCCTTTACTTCAGCCGGTCAAAATATAGTCGAACTGGACTTCTAGGGTCTACTTATCTTACAAAACCACCACCCAGGCTTTTCGAATAGGTTGTTTCAAAGACTTGTTTGCTGAAAGATGGGCCTACCACCAGCACCTATGCAGGTCGGGTTATTGGATGGAAAATACCTCTTCAGGGGGGTCTACCGCCCGTTGTGCTGAGCTGCTGGTCGGCCCGTTGTTTTTGGCTCCGTTGAACAACCCAACCACAGTCTCAAGTAGCTTCGGGAAGTCTCTTCTCCGAGCTCGATTCCAAGGGGTTGAACTCCTCAGGTTGAGCCCATGTCCTGAGCGAAAACATCCAGATGATTCCAGATGTTTTCTTGACTGATCTTGACTGTCCTCTGGCGTACTCTTAGACCCTGAGTAAATTTGGTTTCCAGAGGATTTCGTTCTAAAACCACTAGCTAAAGGTCGTGGTTTTCAGGTTCCATATGGTTCCATGTTACTCTTCCCGAGTCTAATCACTCCAAAGCAACCAAACCCGCGCTTGGCCGTAGCCCGGGCGCCCCTCGAGCAACGACCAGGTCTTTATGAATTACAACTGGTTCGTCAAGGCGCTGGCACGAACGAAAGCAGCCGACACCTCGGCGCCGGTGTCCTCCATGCTTTTTCTCCCCAAAACCAGCCAATCGCGCTGAACGGAAGGGGTCTCCTGTTTGGTGACATATACCTAGACCCTCCAAAGTACCTTAGAAAATGGGACATGACCCCTAAAAACCAGGTGTCCCCATTTTCCGAGGTACGTACGGGTCGACTCCAAGTAGAAAGCTAGTGCAGGCTTGTGTTTTGGGGTCCGGTGCACAGAGCCCCCCGCTCCCCCGGCCTCCGCGGCCTCCGGCGGGTTCCGCGGGACGCGCGGGACGCGCGGGACGCGGGGGTTCGGAGCTTCCGACGGCGGTCATAAGGAACCTGCCGGGCTTGGAGAGAGCTAGATACCCAGACACGACCCGGACCTGGGACTGCCAGTCCGGACTGCCGGTTGTGGTGCGGCCAGGGGTGGTTGACTGGGGTCAATGAAGGTGCATATATCATTATAATGGCAGTCCCATGGAGTGTCTGGGTGTATAATGTCTATATTTAGTCAGACTATAGATAGCAAGAAACCATCAAAGACTTCACCCACAGATATAAAACAAAAGAAAGATTTAAGGTTTCTAGGTGTTTTACCCTGACACCAGACCACCATGCTGGTCAGTGGTTCCCTCAGAATCCTTGGACCCATTCACGCGCGTCCAACTCGACACCCTCCAAACCCTTGAAGGCCGGGAGTCTTCACCTTGATGAGTGAGATGTCGACCTCAGTACCCTGGGAGTCCAGTCGACTATACAAAGAATGGTCTGACGAGTTCGGTGACCCAAGTCAAGGAATGTCCTTTACTTCTAGGGTGTAGCTAAAGAAAAACATCTCTTTGGCACGCGGAGCTTGAGACACGAATCGACTTCATCTGAAGAACGCGTGGGTGCAGTCGTCGTAGGCGGACGCCGATGCTGTCTTCGTGTACTCACGGTTGCCGCAAGTCCTGCCGCTGGGCTGATTGGAATCGAAGACGTACAAAAAACGACTAGTGGGACTGGCATGTACACCTACATTGATCCTTGAAACCACCCATAATGTAGACATACCTAGACCTTCCAACTGTGCAACATTTGTGCCTTTGAGTGTATCAAAACCAGCCAAAAGGCATACATTAATAGTTGGAAGATCTAGGTATCAGTCCCATGGTGCGTGACAGGGAACTTGCACCGCACTCAAGTGCGTCAGACGGAACACCAGGTCTGAACTCTGTAAATCTCATGGTCTTGGCAGGTCTTGGTACCTCTGTGGCTGCTGTAAAACACATGCTCACCCCACATCTACACACTGGGAAGACTTGGGAAGACTTACAGAGGTTCAACTGAGCGACCTCACGTTTGTTCAGCTTCGTTTTCAGTTGATGAAGATCAGGATACAGCTGAGAGTTCTTTCGTTTCGACCTAGAAGGGCACTTATCGGATGGGAACTTCTTCCACATCCCTTTTGCAAGGTCCAGAGCCCACAGGGAAACCACACAGGAACACATATACATATACAATGTTCGGATGCCAGAAAGGTTGCTGGAAAGCGGTTTCGTGTGGGGCACGCGATCGAACACATGTTATAAATACAGATCTACCAGGACCTTCAAAGTGACCTCTTTGGAGTCTCTATGTGACCTCTTTAGGGACTAAGTGACCTCATTCTAGGATCTCAAAAGGTCACCTTGAAGGTCCTGATAATCGTTTAAGATGCCACCTTCCAAAGCAAGATAGTGGTTCCTTCGACCGTGGTCGAACCACCACAGCGAGTACAGCGAGATTCTTCGCAGCTTTGACTTCTGGTTAGATTATGAACCCCGGGATTCCAACAATCGTTGCTTCATGTGATCATCCGCAGCGTCCCCATCCAACATGCTCGCACCCCCCGCTGGACCACGTACAGTTGCTGAACGGCAGCTCCACAGCAGCACCGCATGGTCTTTACATGTCTTCACCCATATAGAACTATCCACTAGTGTTATAGTTCCAATTTTTTGCACATGTTTGCACTAACTACTAAAACTAGGTCAACCGAATTCTTTGAAGGCAACCGGGTGAACCATCTTTTCCATTGCCCACTGGACTTCGCCATGGAGTGTTCATCGCCGTGGATCAAGCAGAGCCCGTTGCACCATCGGTTGACCTTCCTCCTAGTCCATCCCAGACATGACCTGTGGTGGTTCACTTGGCATATTTACATACAAAACAGGGTGCTTGACCTGGGCTATGAGCACATCTTCCATTCGCATGGCTCGTGTTTGGTCCCACCCAGTCGTGCCGTCGTGCCGTCGTGCCGTCCGTCCGACGACACAGGTCAGAATACGACGACCGTGCATCCGGAAGCAGCGGAGAGGGGGCTCCTTGGCGCTTCGTCGGTAGCTCTGTGGGTCGGACGAACATGGGCTCCAATCTACTCGGGCCCACATGATATCAAGAGTGGGTTGCCTTGGACCCACCGCGATGTTGCCAGGAGTATGGTCCAAACATCCGCAATACACCCTTAGCCGTAAAGCGAGCCGTCCAGTTGGGACCATTTGTGGCAACGCTCTGTGTTCAGTTGAAATGCTTTCACTCGGAAAACACGGACCTCATCGGACCATCTTGACATTAGGGTCTAGGACCGTATACCCCGTGCTTCCTGTCGCCAATGGACAACCCTACAGAACTCTCAAACAGTCTCCATTGGAAGCGCTATATATTTTATCTATGGATTCATTATAGGCTTCATGACATGAAAAACACCGAGCTTTCAGTTGGCTTGTCAATATGGCTTTCAGTTGGCGGTCAACAAATGTTCCTGTTTCTGTGCCATGACATGTCCTTGTTTCAACATTCTCGTTGCCCATGAGCTGTTAGCTAGGATTCCTGACCCGTCATTGATTTATAGCGCGCCTGAATCTCGACCGCAACCAATTGTGACTATTACGTATTGCGGTATTTGTACAGCTCTTTCCCTTCACTCTCACCTTCACTCCGCACGGCGAACGCACGAAAGAAAAACCGCACAGTATGCGAGTCGACCTCAGTCTTCTCCTTCAGAAACCGACCAGGTCCGTCCGTCTCCTCT